GGGAGGTGGAAGCGACACTGAGTGACAGCGCTTGCCACTGGGGAGGAGAAAATTGGGGGGGGGGGGGGGGGGGGCGGTAGCCTTGTCCGACAACTCCTTTCGGTTTTCAGGCACCAGGCGGGCTTTGGGCCGCCGTGAGATGAGGGGAGGGGGGGATGCCCTCATAGACGATCGTACATATATGCATACGCGTGAAGTTGTATTGTGCAGGTCGTTACGAAGCGCGGAGGAGGGGGGACTGTGGACATTACCGATTACACGGGGTGGGTGGAGACCGGAAAACCGAGCGGAGAGCTATACGGGGGTTCAGGGGAGGAAGGCGGGGACGGGGGAGGCATTCGCGACGATTCGCTTGAGGGCGGCGGGTCAATTTTGTGTATTTTTCTCTTGCTTAGGCGAAAATCCTGGATCGAAGGTAGCAAACCTCTTTTGCGGTTCCAGGACACGTTTCGAAGCAAGGCTCTTCAATGTCAATTGAGTATTGTCGGGACCCCCCAATCTCCTGGGATGTGTTTCCGGCTCTCCAGGCATTTTTATTTTGTTTCTTGCCTCTGAGTGTGTCAGGTAAATATTGAGACGTTTGAGTGAGAAAAATGTCTTGTTTCTTCCTCTGTGTTCCACGGTGCCTGCTCATGTTAGCTTTCTTCATGTTTCAAGTAGAGGTGGGGTAGCAGTTCAGTCTGCTTGCACCCATCCTTGGTTCGCACATGCGATCTCTTCGTCGCAATTGTGTTGCTGTGGACGCTTCGTGCCGTGCGTAAACAAGGAGTACTTCTACAGTCCCTCCTATCCGCGAGTACTTCTACATTTTCATGTGTTTTTTCCGACCGGCCGCTGCTGCTGCCGCTGCTGCTGCTGCTGCTGCTGCTGCTGCCCGTACCCCCACTGTGCACTCACGCCCTCTTCAGGAGCTGCACGGGAGCTTCGGGGTGCTCGCGGCGCTCGCTGTTGCGGCCGCCCAGCAAGACGCCTCAGCGACGTTGCTGCCGGTGTGTGGTGGTTGGCACGATGATCCACGAGTCGTTAAATAGTCCTTTTTTGTTTTCTGTCGCTTTGTTTATCTACAATACGCCTCAAACAAAAGCTGCCCCTGCAGCAAGACATGAAAGAGAGATTTTTTCCATGCAGCAAGAAATTGGTCTCCATGAGTCGTTGGGTGGTCTTTCAAGCAACACATGAACAGAAAGGCCACAAGATTTTGGCATGGTTCTCACAAACGAGTGGTTTGATGGTCTTTGAAGCAGACATGAAGTGAGGTGCCGTATGAAGAAGCGGAGAGATGGGGCACCCGCCCTAGCATGGCTTTCAAAGGCCGATTGTTCCACAGCCTGGTGGGTGCGGGGAGCGCCCGATAAGCCCTCGGCAAGATGTTTCCAACACCGACATTTTTGGTTGTGGGGCAATCGGTTTTTCGAAAGGTCTGCGGGGGGGGTGCCACCTGTTCGCCTCTTGCGGGGTACCGTACCATAGAGCAAGAATCGGCATGGCCCAGGAGTTGTGTTGATGGCGTTTGAAGCAAAACAATTACATGTGTCAAAACACCCTGCATGTCTTGCGTGGATTCTAGGGCGTCTTCTACAAGGTAGATGTGTTCTAGAGAGTGTGTAGACAGCTGTGTCAGCGTGGGGCGACGTTGGTCTCCCTGCTAAGTTTTTTCTCCAAAGCCCCTTTTAGGCCATGGTCAGGATGACCCTGTGGTTTGCTTCCGCTCCCAGACGATGCCATCAATCGTCAGGCTTCCCTGCCCCTTTCTCGGCACTCTTGTGTGTGCACACAGGGAACCACTGCTGTTGCTGCTCTTGGTCTGTTGGTTGCGGCCACGCACGACACCGCTGCCGATTTTTTTCCCGCCTTATTGCTGTTTCGTATCGGGCCCAGAGCGTGAGCTTGGAAGAATATTAAAGCTGTGTGCATCACCTCATTTGATCACCTCACACCCACTTCCACCATCATGCGGCTTAAGTTTTTGTTTTTTGTTGCGTTCCACCGCGATATGCCTTGTGTCCGAAAGGCCGGTCGGGCGCCTTGGTTCCCCACCAGGTACCTACCTCTGTTACTGGTGACGGCCTCTGCGATGTGTAGGGCCTTGTCGGTGCCGGTGGTGGCCAAGGACTTCCCCTTCGTGGTCGTCGGGGCTTACGCCTCCTGGGTCTACCTCCGCTTCTTCGCACACCTGTGAGTGTGTTGTTGTTGGTGGTGGTGTTGTCACTGTTGTGTTGCCTCCTGGGTCTACTTCCGCTTCTTCGCACACCTGTGAGTGTGCTGTTGTTGCTGCTGCTGTTGTTGTTTTTGGTGGTGGTGGTGGTGGTGGTGGTGGTGTTGATGTTGTTGTTGTTGGTGCTGTTTTTGTTGTTGTGGGCATGAGACCGCGTGACCTGACCTTGCACCCTGAACACCTTCTTCTCCGCTCGATTGGGTTACAGGTACACGTCACCTGTCGCGTGTCATGGTGACAGTCTCACGAAGATTGGGGCTTACGAACAATTAGGATTTGCAAAAGAGTAGGGGGGCGTTTTGTTTGCTTGAGGTGGCACGCCTGATGGCGTGGTTCGCTGTGTTATGCATTGCTTGTTTTCTGTTTCGCGCTCGGTTACTGGCACAGAGATCTCCCCCACCCTGCATATGGCCTCCTTTGGCTGCAGGCGTCTTTCAAAACGATACAGCAGTAAGGGCGGGCAGGAACGGACGGTAGTTCCATGTCTTGGGAAGGGGGTATGTTTTCA